AAGGAGCTTATAGATTAGTCCTCATCACATGTTGGAGTTTGTTAGGCATGTTTAATGCAATTTGTAAGTTGATGGGTCAATAGGAAGCTTTTGACATGACAAATCAAATGTTGTCATTCTTAGACTATAGCAAATTAATCCCTAGGACCTACCCATAAGAATTGAAGTGGTGATTTGTTTACATGCCTCTAGGTTCTTTAAATAATGCCAAGAGTTGTCTTCCAAATCTCCTAGAAGTCGTAGGAATGAAACCTTCCCACCCAAATCTCCTAATCATGCCAAAAGTTATTTAGGAATCCTTTTCAATGCATTGGGAGCTCTCTAGTAGAGTCTCCTCTTCCGCATGGATGATGGTTTGGAGCACCTCAAGGCTTTTGGCGTACGATGTCAGAAAATTAAGGAGTAAATAGATTCCGATGGTCAAGGTGCTGTGGAAGCATAGGGCCGCCAAAGAGGCTACTTGGGAGAAGGAATTTGAGATGAGACAGCTCTACCCAGGTTTATTATGGCGTATTTAGATTTGAGAATGTCAAGAACGACATTTTTTTAAGGTGGGTAGAATAACTCAAAATTTGAAAACTGTATTATTACCTGCAACATTTAAGAATTTATTCAAGAGTCATTATAAGCCCAACTCATAAACCGTCTTCTCCATAAAATTTTTATTATTGCTATGATGCACCAACACGGACACGGCGACACGGACACGACACGACACGGACACGGGACACGGCAATTTTTAAAAATATAGAACACGATTGTGGCGTGGACACGGCATAATAATTTTTTAATATAATATATAAAAATTAAGGTGACATTATTGTAAAAATGTCATGTAATAATAAATCAATTTCATGATAACTTGTTTAACTTATAACATAAAGATGTTTAGTACAAAATGTCTAGTACAAACACAAAAATATAAACAAAAAACTATTTAATACAACATGAAGGTCTAACTACTCAATAGAGGGAATGATAAAATTAGATTCAAATGTTGGTCTTTGGCCTTCAATATCATCATCATTGAATATCATTGCTTCCAACTCTAGTTCATCTAGAGAAAGATTTGTAATCTCCAATAATCTCATATCATCAAGGCACTCGAACTCATCTCCAGCAACATCCCACATCTTATTATCACCTGTCATATAAAGTTGGGTTTTTCTTGATAGAAGATAAAGATTTGTATACACAAACTAAATATTTAGCACGTTGTGGAGTTATTTTATTCCTCTTCATTGATTGAATAAATGAGTATGTGCTCCAATTTCTCTCACAACAGGAAGATGATGATACTTGACCAAGAAGTTTTATTGCTATTGTTTGAAGAAGCGGTGCTGAAGCTCCATGAATCAACCACCACATTTTTGGATCCATCATCTATCAATCAAAGATTCTTGATCACCAAAATCCTCTAAATATCCAAAGAACTTTGCAAGTTCTATATTAATTTTTCTTCTCCTCATTTGGAAAATATTTTTTCAAGCATATCTTTCTCATATTTGAAACTTCTAAATCTTTTTGTGGTGAGACACGTTGAGGGTCTTCTTGAAGCTATTATTTACTTGAATACCTTCAAATAATACAAA